AAACAACGAGAAATAAAATCCGAAATATTTCTGTTCAAAACGACACACAATAATAAATATCCATAAAATGAGTGAACGGTATCCGAAAAGAGTAATGACGATAAGTGGGTAGCGTTCAACAGACGGAGCGAGCGCAAGTAAATAATCGGAATACCTTAGAACTTTATAACACATTGCGGAGAATTCATTACGATTTTATTTTGAGAGATTTTCGTTTAATATGAGCAACTTGGATGGTTTTTTATTGCAGAAAATAAATGAACATACGGATCAATGGATGAATAAACGGAACACAGGAATGAATATTAGAATTTCTGTCACAGATAAAATATTCTCCAAAAATTTTCCTAACCAAACGACACGAAAATTCAAAGGAAAGCTAACTTTTTCAACTGCTTAACTATGAAGAAAAACGACGATTGCAGGTAGATGAATGGAAATAAAAGCAATATTGTACCGGTCGTTTAAAAAATGGCATAGAAAAAAATGAATAACAATTGTATTCGAACAGAATGGAATTCCACGAAAGTGAATGAAAAACGAATCAAATTCAAAACGACAACAACGACAATAACAAAAACAACAGAAAATCCTAACAATAAATAAGTTCAGTAGAGCATGTAAATTTCAAGAAAATTTGAANAAGAACACTATGGCAAACTAACTCAATTAGCATCATCACGCACAATCTTAAGCCATCACAAGTAAATCTTGACGAATGACCAACGTATTGGCCAATATTTCCCAACTTTTCAACAGTGAAACCAATCAATAATTCACTAAACCTACTAACTAACAATAAGAAAGAATAAACCAAACTGTGGTCAAACCGAACCAATTCCAGGCAAACTAAAAGCAGTTGAAGTCAATTTTCAACTCTAACTAATATTAGCCGAACCAAAATCCAGGCGAATTCCCAGCCTTATCAAACTAACTAAGCCAATCCAAACCAAACAACTAGTGGTGAGTACGAAAGTAATTAATGAACGACGAATCAAAGAGCTACAGAGTGCCACCCTCGACTCTCGATAATCACAGTTCATCATGCAAATCGTCAATTGTTGCTGGATTGGGACAGCCGGCTGGTGTCTTCAACACAAAGCGATATTCACATTTGGATGGCTCTGTTGCCTCCACCAATGCTGTCTCCTCACCACATTCGATGACGACTCGCGTCGACCGTTCCGGCCCATTCCAGCAGCCTTGTCCCCTATCGTAAAGTTGCTCAGCATATNTGATCAATATTCAATATTAATATTAGTACAACTGCTTTATTTTCTTTATCATTACCGCCAGGGCATACAAACAAATTCAGAGCACGTCTTCGACTCACCCTAAACTAATTTCCATATGGCCACTCTTCTCTTTCTGAACCGCCCGATCAAACAAAGACACTTTGTAAATATACTGTCCATCATCCAATTCGAACCATTTACCCTTCAGCGGTACCCATGCCAAATCTTCACCAAAGTCTCCACTAATATATGACTCTGATTCACTGAAAAAAAAAACTTTCATTATTAGATACCAACCGGAATAACTACTTTAAAATTAGCAGAAACCGACGACCACCATTTCACCGGTATTTTCAAACTGATCCTTTAAAATTTTCTTCACATATTAGAAAATGTAAAACAATTCTCACCTTATCGACGAATCCAAATTTCTTATCTGGTCATCAATTTCACGATACGCCTTTCGGGCTTCATCGGCTTCTGAAAGAACGTAAAACCCTTCCAACTTCACTGATATTTCACT